AGTGCAACGTTTACATTCGATTCGCGATGATTGTACACGATTCATGTTACTGACTTACATACCTGACGTGTAAACTGCTCGCGTCAAGAAGCCGCGAACACTTTCATAATTAACGTCGATTTCGTCTTGTTAGCAAGTGTCGATCGTGTGAAGTAACCGATTCTCTTTTGATATTTGCACATCATGTTATTGTGTCATCGACTCTTCCGTCGGTCTTCCACTGTGTACATTAAACTATGATACACTATGGTGAGACAAAGAAAATAGCTAACAATACTATAGTAATTGTAATATTAATATTTCGTTCTATTGTAGCTTTTCTTTCTGTCGTTAATTATTTATTAGTTATTATCAAGATAAATGTTACAATTCTATTCCAATCGAATTCAACCATATACACATTGTTCTTTAATCGCACATATAAAATGTATAAAAAATTTATTGGCAACAAATGCATTATTTTGAAAAGATTATTTCATTGAAGTATTTCTTCCTACGAAAATCGTCAAGTGGAACGTGCGAATGCGGCCGAGTTCCGATAACACAGAACGTCAAATATTTCCTTTACCCAGGAAAAACCGGACCGTTTCCCAAGTTTCCACGTTTCCTTTTCCAGAAAACCATTTCCCTTCCCTCGTCGCGTCGACCACACCGAATCGATTGCGTAGGATGATAATTGCGGGCTCTGTTCCATCAATTTTATTGCTAATTGGCAGTAGTCGATTGCGGTAGTGACATAAACGATACGCTATCGATCAATCGAGTATTGCGAAAGCCGCGCCGTAACAGATTCTTCGTACGTGGCGACCACTTCCGAGGAGCATTGGTTTCTTCCGAAAATGTAAATGTGTCGAAACAAAACAAACGGTAATTATTAATCGAACTGTGAGTACTTCGGTCACATTGGCGATACCGTATTCGTGGGTTCGGCGTGACTCACACGATGAGTTATGGCTCACGAGTCTCTCGGTTACAAATTCTCGAACTCATTGTATAGAACCCATGTGACCATGCGATTGCATCAAGGTCGTGCACACCGAATAAAGAACAGATTGCATATCGATTCAACCGGTAGCGCGGCGGCAGCGGCGCGTAGGCATCGCGTTTATTCCATCGAGAACTGAACGCCCCGATAGCATTGATCTGTCATAATTTCACTCGATTCGCCTTCGGGTTCGACCAATTAGGAATTAGCGATGCGAACGAACTCGTTAATAATTCCCTTAATCGTCAATGAAAGATTAGGCACTAAAATTATCGCTAGAAGTAGTCAAGCACGTAGCTGCTTACGTACGTAGAATATTGCTTTCGAGAACAGTTTACGCACCTTGCTTTTTGCGATTAGGGTTATTACTCTTACCTGCTCCCGCACGAATGGTACTTACGTGTGCCACAGTGATTAAACTATGAGTCGAGGCTAGCATTTCTTTGATCCTACGAAACTGTTTTTTCTATTTAAGGATGTATAGGCTATATACNCTGTATAGCCAATACATCCTTAACATTTACACGACTCTACTGTTTTCAAATGACATATTTTAAACATTCCAATCGTGATTATATATTAAAGACATATAAAGATTAAAGATATATAAAGTGGAATTATAAAACAGATTACAAGAATTGCATCGAAACAATTTTGAAAGAAATAGCTAATACATACTGAAATGCAAAAAGATCTCTATATTAGGACAACATGTACTGCGCTACTCTTTTGTTTTTATTTTAACAATAAAAAGATTCCCCTCGAGAGAAATTACCGCATTCCCGTTACCCGAACGGACACCGTTCGAGCGTAGTTACGACCGCTTTTCGCGTCGTGACTTTTCAGATCGTTTTTTGCGAAACGGCCGGCCGATCTTTGAAGCCATCAGTCCCGGATAGAATCTCGAACGTTCGTCTTGTGTACATAAAATACAAAACGCCGCGTGATCGACGACAATTGTCCAGCTATCGACGCGTCGTTTAAAATGACAACGCGCGTAAAAATGTTGTCGCTCGTTTATACGAGGAGTATCGATACGATGGGATACACAAACACAGAACGAACTTAAATGGCTGTATGCTCTTGGATCGAAGGAGAACAAGACAGTCCTAATAAAAATAATAGAAGACAGGATACTACGACGATTGCAAGGGAAAATAAAATTATACTTTATTTTTAAATATGCATAATATTTTATTTTAATCAGTTCTTCATTAACACGACTTATATTGTTTACTTCTTCTGTTTAAAAAGAACAAATGTAATTTCGATTACCGTATCATATCTAAATAGCGCATATTTGATGGAAAGTAACTGCTTGTGAAATCGACTGTTATTTATAAAAGAAGGTTTCTCACAATTTTTTCCCTCATTATTTGTTGCGCGTCGCTAAGAAGCATATTGATTTCGAGGTCGTTCACTAATTGCCGACGCATTGAAATCTACAGGCCATTAGACGTTGAATTGCACCATATGCCGTTCAAACGCTATTGTAATTTGGCATAACCACTATCTCACAGGCTTCGTTTTGCAATGTGAAAAAGTGCGATAAACATTTATAACACGTAACACAGTGGTTAAAAATTCTTTTATTTTCTAACAGAGTTAGTACTGCCGCTATAGAAAGTTTTAATTGTTATTACATTAACTTGAAAGTGGACAAGAATGCATATAAAAAATAAGTGTTCTCTAATTTTCAATGTGTTCTTCTTCAATATTATTTTTAGTAAACCAGGGCTTGTAGATTTTTAGTAAATACGGATTGTAAGATCGAGCATCATTTTTTCAATACTTGGACAGCAGTTTCGCCACGTGGAAGTTTCTATAACGTCGTTAATTGTACCTGTAACGCTATCTGCGGATATATCAGCCAGAAGTTACATAATCGACACGTAATGTGAATTGTGAACGGAAACCAGCAAACCTCAGCATTCTTCCAGCGGGCGTCTGATTTTCTTTCGGAAATCCACTGCCAATATTTCACGGTTTTATAGACAGGTTATTCGGCGTTAAACAAAACGATTGTCTGACTAATAGTTTATTCTCGATCGTTACATTCATTGTTTTTCACGTGTCTATAAGCTCGACCAGGTATAAATAATTGCATAATCGTTGTCTCATCGACTATAATGAACCATCCTTTCTTCTCTTGCATCAGCTGTTTCTTACACAAAGTAGTAATAATAAAAATGAATTAGAAAAAACATATATGAGAACAAGTCATGTTATTAAGTCATTTCTTCGTTCTGTCACATAAATGTCTAATGCTACGTAAATGTACCAGAATTTTAATTGTGCTGACATAAAATCGACAACGTAACACGTATTATGTAATGTGCGACTGGTACAAAGGAGAATGTCCATATCTCTGATCGTACATAATATTCTAATGAATGAACTTTACGAGGTTAATTTGTGCGGAGTATACTAATAGACGATTCGTTCGAGATAATAGAACGGTGTTAACATTCAAATGCCATGTCCCGCGGGACGTTACCTACGTGATTAAAGTATGAGACATCGGTACACGTGACGCGGCCGCGAGATTCGAAAATCTTAGCTGAAGTTTCATGTGCATTTGCATTCACGTAACGAGCAAACGACTACGCAGCGGCGGATGCACGCGCGAAAGTCGCGGCTACACAGCACGTATGCATACGTGTTCGTCTATTAACGAACTGCACGTGAATTTAACTAAAGTCAACGTGGGATCGGTTTCAGTCACGTGATCCTTCACAATTATAATTTGATAAATATACATTAGGTATTCCAAGAAATTCATTCAAGTTTGCATTTAATTAAAGAGCCTAAGTTCCTATTAATACTCGCTGGTGGCAAAAATCAGGAATAAACGAACACATACTTGATCATATTACTTATCAGAATTATTAATTCACTACTAATACTCGCTGGTGGCAAAAATGAGGAATAAACGAACTCATACTTGATCATATTACTTATCAGAATTATTAATTCACTACTAATACTCGCTGGTGGCAAAAATTAGGAATAAACGAACACATACTTGATCATATTACTTATCAGAATTATTAATTCACTACTAATACTCGCTGGTGGCAAAAATTAGGAATAAACGAACACATACTTGATCATATTACTTATCAGAATTATTAATTCACTACTAATACTCGCTGGTGGCAAAAATTAGGAATAAACGAACACATACTTGATCATATTACTTATCAGAATTATTAATTCACTACTAATACTCGCTGGTGGCAAAAATTAGGAATAAACGAACACATACTTGATCATATTACTTATCAGAATTATTAATTCACTACTAATACTCGCTGGTGGCAAAAATTAGGAATAAACGAACACATACTTGATCATATTACTTATCAGAATTATTAATTCACTACTAATACTCGCTGGTGGCAAAAATTAGGAATAAACGAACACATACTTGATCATATTACTTATCAGAATTATTAATTCACTACTAATACTCGCTGGTGGCAAAAATTAGGAATAAACGAACACATACTTGATCATATTACTTATCAGAATTATTAATTCACTACTAATACTCGCTGGTGGCAAAAATTAGGAATAAACGAACACATACTTGATCATATTACTTATCAGAATTATTAATTCACTACTAATACTCGCTGGTGGCAAAAATTAGGAATAAACGAACACATACTTGATCATATTACTTATCAGAATTATTAATTCACTACTAATACTCGCTGGTGGCAAAAATTAGGAATAAACGAACACATACTTGATCATATTACTTATCAGAATTATTAATTCACTACTAATACTCGCTGGTGGCAAAAATTAGGAATAAACGAACACATACTTGATCATATTACTTATCNACAAAGTTCATACAACATTCATTCAGTATTTGATATTCTTATTATACTAATTGTAAATGCAACGTTTATATTTTCTGATCATTGAATTTTCTCATAAATCACAGAAACCGTTGTCTGATAATAAGCAAAAAGTGACCAAGCGGCTTTATCTTTCGTTCCAGGTCTGATGATGGAGTCTGAGAAGAAAATCTTCGAGATGATGAACAAGAAGGCGGCCATGTCCAAGTATTGGATGCCGCTCGTCTGGGCGACGAACATCATCAACAGGGCCAGGAGAGAAGCCCTGATAACCAGCGACCAAGTAGTGCAAACCCTCCTCGTCGAGCTGAGCGACATCCGGAAGAGGCTTGGCGCGCTCATTGGTTACGACACTGTTTGCGTTCCTCTTGTTTACACTCAGGTGGGTATCGTGATACTCTACAAACTATGAACCGTGTCCGAACACCTGTCGATGTTGCGTCTCTGTTTCCCGAATTAATTTATGTTCATCCGACCACTTCTACCAACATTTCCGTTCAGTTTGCAACTGCAATAATTTCAAATCTCATTGTGATCAAATTTACAAATCGCTAAGACGATTACTAATAATATTTCTTTGTCATTTAATAATTTTAGTATCATGCGAATGAATTTGTATTTGGAAATGTGACTGTATTTAAAATTTATGCGGTTTACGGAGGAAAGCAAGTTTCATTTACCGATTCTTGCCGTGTGAAACCCGTTCGTTGACAAGTAATACAAAGGTTGAGATTTAATCGAACAACGGCACTATTACTCCGTTCTCAATCTCATTCAAGAATCGTTAAGAAGCGGAATAATTGTCGACGACGTAAACCGCCATTGAGAGATATCCTCAAAAGTCTTCATTCTGATTCTCATCACTTCACACACGTCTTCGTCTTGATTATGATAGTGCTGCCAGCGTGAAGCGCACGCTTGCGTAACTTTCATTGAGTTCATGAGAAAACAATGTTACTTTCGAGGATATTTAATTAATTATTCAGAGTTCAAAATAATATATGATTTGATACATCATTTCCCAATTTTTTATTACCATTCAATTGCCACTTTGATCATTTTTTGTATGAGCATTTGAGAATTCTGTTCATTTTGCAATTAAAAGTTTCCATCACGCAAGCGAATGTTAACATCATAATGAATTTAATTGTTTCAAAAAACAGAGTTAATGCTTACACACTAATTCCATTTGCACCATTTCCACGTTCACATGATAGGATGAGCTAAAAAACAAATTTTGTCGTACACGAAGTTATTACTGTTAATTTATTTCTCAAATCGTATCGTTTTACAGCTGTGCACACTAAATGCAATCTTAACAAAGCGACTTTCCTCAAAACAATTACACGTGACTCATCTGCTGCTTAATTTATTAGACGCAAGAACATGCATGACATTCCTAGTCACCTGATAATTTTCTTCTTAGCTTTACAATGTGAGATTTTCTCTTGATACTTCATCCAACTAATTTGTCACAATGCAACCTTCCTCGTGTGTCTCCGACTATTCTATAGGCCTATCCTTCCGGGAAAGTTCCAACAGTGACGTGCCTCCGTTATGGAACCGATTTGCCACACAGTACATTTCTATTTGGATTCATAGAAAGATGTCGTATTTTTTTTAACACAAAAGCTAATATCTGTTCGTCGCCTATGTTAATTCCGTGAAGCTTAACGAGCTTTCATCCAGCAAATGGCCATCATTAGAAAGTGCGTCAGCACGTTGCGACACGGTATCATCGATAAAAGTCTCGATGCGTAATCGCGGAGGTCGCGCTTATGAAAAATCATTCACTCAATCCAGGATCGATGTTAACGCCAGTTCTCGCGGTTCTTTATCCACTTCGAAGGACTCCGATTCGTTGCGACGTAAAATGGATCCGTTCTTGGAACGACGTTTCGTATTCGCAATTAGCCGCCGTGTATGCATTGTGCAACGATAATTGCTGATGAAGCTAACGTCCCTAATCGTCGGACGCCATTATTTTCGCGCTACTAAATATCCACTCGCGCCGTAATCCTGGATAGACACAGCCATTTACGTGATCGATAGCCGTGCGATTGCGACTTGTTGACTTTTGACAAATTACGTCTTAGAGCTATCCGCGTCCTCTGACAATGTATGCACCAACGGGTTTAAAAAGCGCGATGAGCAACGAATCAGTCACGGTCGAGTTTACATGGCCGAAGAAAAAACCATGTTCATTCATGGAACGAAATTGCATCACTCTACAATCGAGAGATAACACATCTTTTTTCGCAATATCAACTATACACGTAATTTTTTTAGAGTTTCTCATGCCAAAAACGAATCCGGAAGTAGAAACGCTCTATCACATACTGTTTCCGAAAAATAGCGGTTTTTGTGAAAATACACGATTTTAAGAAAAATGAAGTATTGCATGTCTCTGTATTTTCAGAAATGTCTGTAGAATTTTTTTTATTGAATTGCGTACTCGCAGAACGGGACATTCAGAAATCTGCACAGACAGGTGTACGGAAGATTGATTAGTTCCTTCATCCTTCGAGGCATCTCGATCGTTAGAATCTCATTATCGATTATATTTAGATCGGTCGAATACAATGGGGTAAAGCCGTGCTGTTAGTCATCGACGCTGCGAAGTACGGCTGATTTTTATTCCCGTTGCTACCGCTCCTCGCATAAATTGTACATACCAATTAATCGAGCTCGCCGGCGATTTGCGTTCGCTTATTAATCAACGTGGAAATTATTCGAATTCCACGGCGAGGAATGGAACGCGGAGGGAGCATTTCTGAAACCTTCTCTAGTCTTACCTACCGATTCGTTACAGTTGGAGAGACGTTTTATTACGAAAATTTCAGGAGGTGAACGTTTCGTGAAATTGCCGCGAATTAGCTGGTCAAGTGACGAAGCAGAGAATGTTCAGGAAGAGCAAAGTTGCAATTATTCTCTCTCCGTCGTGCTCTCGTGTCGAAACAGTACCGCGTAAATGTCAGTCTTTCGTTTTGTAAATCGCGTACACTCGTTTTCACTTCTTTTAAAGCCGTCGCGTCTACTTGGCGCATGCAAATACAGAAGCGTTCGAGTCATACACAACCGATTTAAATACTGACATTTGGCTTCGAGTTTGTAAAAAAAAAACGTGTATAAAAAAGCACATATACATACAAACGTGAATAATCGATGGCAGTAGATGATCAAGAGAGCATATCGCATGGTCAAGGACGGCAAATGAGCACCGATCTCGGCATCGCACGTCGATATACCGGAAACAATTTCACACGCAATTCGATTCTTTCGTATCCTCGAATATCCACAACGTTGATCGACGTCTGGAAATGACATTTTTATTTTACGCGTATAACAAGCGTCCGTGTAAATCACCGTTTCCTGGTGACCTTCGATGAGAAAGGCACCGTTCTTGAAGACCTTGATATGATTTCAAACCTGTCCGTGCATTACTAAAAGGGTGAAATTGATAGTAAAAGGCAAAAATTCTTTCGTCTATAGATCATATTTAAAATTATTTCTTTTACACGAAGTCAAATGAACTTTGCATACATTTAGTACAATTATTGTTTCGGTTGTTCGCTCATTATTTTATCGTTAATTTAAAAAACAATCGAATTTTACTCTCGTCACTGGGAACTGTTGGTACTGTACACTTCTTACTGCGGTGGTGGTCAGTGGAGTAATCGAACGAGTTCGAGCAACGGTTATTTACGTTTTCCAGGTAGTCACGTTATCGCTGTACGCGTACTTCTTTTCTGCGTTGCTCGGTAGACAGTTTATCGACCGCACCGACGCCGATGGCGGGAAATACGAGGTACCGGACATGTACTTCCCATTCTTCACAGCACTCCAGGTAAGAAAATCAATTTTTCAAACTTGAGAAACACGATTATTTATTTATGCAAAAATTGATTGATTCGATTTGTCAATCTTCCGTTTCAGTTCTGCTTCTATGTGGGATGGCTGAAGGTCGCCGAGGTGTTGATCAATCCGTTCGGTGAAGACGACGACGACATCGAGTTAAACTGGCTGATAGATCGCCACATCAAGGTATAATCTCAACTTTCTCCGTCTACCCGGATTAAAATTCGAATTCCTTGAGTCACAGGTTCGATATTTATTGTACGAGTGACACGTTTTACAGGCTGGATACATGATCGTGGATGAGATGCACGAGGAGCATCCAGAACTGTTGAAAGATCAATATTGGGACGAGGTCGTGCCGAAAGATTTACCGTACACTGTCGCCAGCGAACAGTACCGACGAGAAGAACCGAAGGGGTCAGCGGAGCATTATAAGGTCAAAGAGAGCGACGCTTTATATGCGAACGTCCTACTCGGCACGCAGCTTCACAACCATGTGCAGCATCGGAAGACCCACCAGGACGACATGTACGCGGATTACGTAAGTGTCCACGTCATATAAACTTGGATCCCTCAGCACACCGTGAAACAGTTTTAATAAAATTATTAATTACATACTTAATGACAGATATTTTTAAATTAAAAATAAACATATTTAAAAATTATTGTTATAAAATTGTACAGAAGACTTTTATGCAGAATATTTAATATCATTTCAATCATATGACAACTATATTTATATTTTGTGATATTTATTATAGGAAAGCGTCGATACTCCATTAGTGGAGCGAAGAAAGAATTGGTTGCAACGACAGATCACTAGGATGGGTTCCGTGCGTAGTTCCTCGACGACGTACAGCAGCGGGGGTGGTTTCTTCGCTCGAAATCGACACAACAGCGTTTATAGCAGTCCGGAAACTGGAGGACTTCCTCAAACAAACAATCCAAATTTAAAAATGTCTCTATACGATCGGCTGGTAGGAAGGAAGAGCAGTCAGAGAATGGGGCGACAAGGCAAGTTTTTTTTTATCTCGATACCGGTGTGATTTCACGATGAATAAAGTCTTCAGATCGTGTAGACGCGATAACATAATTTCCAAGCGCGTCTGAAACCGCATTCCTCGCAATGACGTTGATCCCCAAGCTGTTTAGATGATAATGATGCGTCTTGCGCAACGCTCCCACGCGCATTGACAGCGTCTCCCGTTTCCATGAATTAGTGTCAGACAACAAAGTTCGGATGATTGAAATTTGAATCAGAATGACTTATTGTCTACGAAATCGTTCACTGAAATCATTAAATGAATCACGTACAAAAACAGATGTGAGCAATGCTCACAACATTTCTGTAAAGAGTTTATAAGTAACGTCATAGTGATTGAAAAATTAGTTACTTAACTTTTGATATTGTATGAAAATTAATACTGTTTGATATAATATTCAAACAAACTCGAAAAACTTTTTATGTTTCATGGAATTGGATTAAATTTTTGAATGAACACGCCACTGTCTCTATACTTCGGATTGAAGAACTTTTCACGAAATTTCTCGTTGAAATTCGAAGCTTCCCTGTTGGCACGCACGCGATGAATTATGCAATGTGTAACCTTGTGTAACCTGAACAATTTCCGCGATCGCGAAATCGCGCTTCTCGAAAAAAAAAACTTTCCTACGACCTTGTGCTTCTTTCTCCTGCCGTTCACTCGCGGTACCGACAGAAAAAAAAAAATAGGAAAATCCGCGCCGGGAAAAGTACCGTGCAATTATTACATCCACTCGCAACCGTTCCATAAATGGATGGAACGACGATTTATTTCCTCGTTCCATCGAGAACCTAGCGGTAAAAGTAATAGGCGATCGAAATTGGCATGATCATCGTTACGCTGCCGGCGCCAGAAATAATTTAATCGACGCCTTAATCAAGAGGCTGCCCGTGTAACAGGCTCGTCTAATTCGCGTTTCGTTCCCCGACAGGTACCATGACGAAGCTGAACTCGGTGCCGGTTTCCCTGAAGAACCGACCCCGTATACCTACACCGGATGTGACGAAAGAGGTGGTCGACCGTGAGCAGAGATTAGCTCTATCGGCGACGAACGCCGCGAACATCGGCGCGGGCGTAGTCGGAATGATACCAGCGAACGGGCACTATCCAGCCGAATTGCCGGTGGTGCAGGTGGTCCTTTCGCCCATTCAAGAGGCGGAAGGCACGCCGGCGACTGGGAAATCCGGTGCAGCAGCTTTGGCACAAGCTGTACTGTCGCCAACTTTGACCAGCGCCGGCCTCGTCGCCCCTGTCACCTTGACACCTGTTACGATGAGCCAATTGACGCAGCTGGGTCTAGTGACAACGACGTCTGCACCGATGATCAAATCGATGAATCAAACCAATAATGTACAGGCCACGCTGACTGAAGTGAACAGCAGTGAGGAGGAAGGATCGGGAAGCGGAAGCAGCAGGAGCGGTAGCATCACCGGGCAAGAAGAACGATCCACTCCGTTAATAAATCAAGACAGGAGCACGCCTCTGATAGGAGATAACGCCAGTCCACTGGGCAGCAACGGTAGCTCGCCTACCTTCGACAGTTACAACGATCGTTCACCGATTCTGATGAATCCTGAGAAATTAGGTTACGTGGTCGGAACAGTGCCGACGACGCAGAATAATGGGATAGTGACGAATCCCCGTGGGAGACGGTCGGCTTCGTTGCCTGGTCCGCCTGTGGTGCAATCCAAGGATGACAGGAGTATGTCTCTTCCGCAATCGCCGGGGCTGCAACCTAGAGAAACTCGCGCAGCTTCGGTGTCCAATGGCCACGAACCGCCAAACATAGACAGGCTCATAGTTCGCAATCAGGACACTCGGCCGAGGACCAGCAGCATCAGCCACGACCTTTGTAGACCTAATCATCGCGTCCAGGATACCTCGAGGAAGATCAGCAGCGTGTCTTGCACGAACGCGTCGCTGCCCACTGTCTTGGGTGGCACGACACCCACTACAGTGAGTACTGTAAAGCCAGTGGCTACTTCGGTCACGAACAGCAAACGGGGTGAGGTGTACGTGTGACCTGAGTACTTAGGGACATTATCGTAAATTCGTATTCGTTCGACGAACCGAACGAGCGTCGCACTTGCCTGAAATCTGACTCCGTCCATTATTGTGATGACTTGGTACGTTTCGTACGCGGTGAAAGTAGGAAACAGTTTACTTTCTGTAGGTACGCGACAACGAGCGTGAAGCGGCGATGGGATTTTTCGTTATCCATGTTTCCTTTTCTCTTTTTTTTTTTTTTTTTATTAATCGAGCTTCACGCGAGGAGTGTCGAGCGAGGGGCCAGGGGATGCTTCCACTACTTTGTAAATATTTGACGATTTTAACTTATGAACACGCTTCGATCGACGAGTTAATTAATATTGCGATACGGGTTCGCGGTCGGTGCAAAATGTGTGTCGATTTGCGTAGCGTGTCAATCGTTCCATGACTGATCACTCGCATTCGTGGTAATGATAGCGACGGGATCGAGCTCGCAGATTTATTCCCCGCAGAAAAAACCGCTTGTCCTTTTTCTCTCTTTCTTTTTTTTTCTTAATCGTACGTGCAATAATGCGGTAGCGAGCAGGGGACGCGTAATCGGTAGCAGCGAATTACGAAACGCGGCTCGCTCTCGCGTTCTTAGGATAAAAAGAAACCGTACCGTTCACGTGACACGTGGAAGAAACGAGAAGATGTGGGAATACATTTCCGTCACGCGTACACACGTGCGGCTGCTGTACCATCGTTGTGCTTCGCGTCGACTAAGTCGTTACAATTGTGATACGAACTGTTTTTTTTTTTTTTCTTCCTTGTTTCTTATAGATACGCGTAGGAGTGAATTTTGAACGCGATCGTCTTTTTTCACCGCGAGGTTCGAGTCTGAATTATGGAAATCGTAACTCGTGGTAGAAGTCAGATCACGTTTGTAAATAACTGAGAATCGGCGACGTGACTCGTCGTTCTCGCGATTATTGCAGCCAGGCGGAGGATGTTCTTCATTTCACGCTTGCTACTTTATATTTATTCGAAATGGCGACATATTCGCAAATTACATGAGCCGTATCGGGTCAGGCTTCGTCATATGCTGAAAGATGCTTGTATACAGTACTATATGGAATTTGTTTTTTTAATCTACGAATGAATTTAAGATTATATATTTTAAATGTTAACTAATTTTGTAGCCTATATTACAAAACATTTTTTAACGAATTGAATTAACTTAATTGTATTAATAAGAATAGGCTTTGATTTTTACGGAGTACTGTGTACATGCATGCGCAACGTTTGCCATATTTGCCATACTCGATAGGACATTATGCGAAATAAAATCGCGTTTATTCGAATTGGAGCGGTGAAAGTTGCGCAACTTCTTCGATGCTCCTTGAAGTGTATCGCGATATTTATCACGTATTACTTCATAATTGTTAAGAACTATTTTATAATTGTTAAATTTGTATCAGTAATCATCATCCCTTTTTTTTATCAATGCGAGGAACGAATGCAAGCTGCGATATTCGACGAACAAACTTAACTCGACGAAGCTGATTTATTTATGAAACCTGTAACTCAACGAGATCGGAGATCTCGTTTTAGTTTTTTCTATTTTATTATGGTTATACTTGTACGCAATTCTCGTCGCGTATTTAATTACGCGCGTTCGTTAAAGTAAGCAGCAGCTCAAGTACTTTTCTACATGAACTCGACGTTGATAGGTCGTTCAGTTGTAAGTAACGAACAGTCATTCGTTGTTGAATGGAGTCAACGCACGTGTAAATAGTAAAACAGTTAAGTTAAAAATTCACTTGGTGTATGAGATTATGAACATGCTCAGTGCCAATACACGTCGTTAAGTACTTAAGCCAGGCACTTTACCTTCGATGCTACATCGTCGATCTTTAGTTATCTTCGTTTATAATAAGAATTGTGGCCTGAAGTGCAAAACGTGTAAATACAGGCGTTGTTATCATCGATTTTCTTGCAATGTCTTCATATCAGCGGTCAGCAGTTTAACGATGGGAGTATCAAGTGAAACCGAATGTGACACATGAACCATGCAAGAGACTTTTAACAGAAACTGTTATCAAAGGACAATAGTTTGGAAGATGGTCATGTAAAAGACATTAATAACATATCTAGGATGTTTTCTTCACTTCGACCTGCACTTATCATAAGCATATCAAGTGTCGCGTCTGTGGACTTCGAACAAATAGGAGCGCATCCGAACTTGTAGATATTTAACATACAGTATTTGTATATAGGTTACATCCCGCTCTCGCATGAAAGGTTCTTTAGAATATATACATAGGTAAAGAATTTTGTTCATTTCGGTGCCCGAGCTGGCGTGATGTAAAGTAAGATGAATCACATGTAAGAATAGTAATACATTATTCGTATTATCTATATTCTACAATAAAAATAAACATTTTTGAAAGCTTCAACCTTTTCTTACGTCTTTACTAAACGTAGCTACATCCTTTATACTTCTTGAGAAAATTTATCTCAAAAAGTAATTGCAAACGAATGAAGAACAAATAGAATATTTATTGCAAACAAGGTAAAAGTAAAAATAATGGAGAACTAACTTTCAATCCTTAATGCTTTAATTCTTTTATGTTGATTTAATATAAATGATAAATAATGAGGGATCACTGGAGGAGTATGGAAAATAAAATAATAGATAAAGTAATAGCAAACCACCGAGGAAAAATTACTAAAGAATGGCAGCTTTATGGGACTTTGTGTCGCATGAAAAAATCTGGAATTCTTGACGCCCACTAGAATATGTTGCCACCGAAGTAAGAAAGAGAATGCAAACCACTATCCTACTTTATGTAGAATTACGTGCCTTAAATATTCTTTCGAAGAGTAATAAAAAATATGTTTAGTGCAAAATATTTTTTTTTCATCCTAGCAAAAGATGATTCGGACAAAAGTTGTACCTCTAATTGCCAGCTATAAATAAGGTCCTATGCAATTTCTTATTAGTATGAATAAATTTAGGAGTGAAAACCGTAAGTATACTCAAAGGAAGGAGACGCTATCGGTAAAGTTAACGGTAGCTTCAATAAATTCTGGGGCTGCATATTAAGGATTCTACGAACATTCAAGGATTCCAAGGCTCGCTAGCTTCTCGCAATTCTGTGAATGTTAGGAATTGAAGGAAATTCCAGAGGCATCAGGGTACCCGAGATCTTGGATTCGAAAGATTTAAGGGATGCCTCTGATACCTTTCAATACCTCTCTCGTGTCCTTGGAATCTCGTGGAATGTTCAGTAATTTCAAAATTTGCGAAACATCTTATAATGTCTTTCCATGTCCTCGATATTTTCTCTAATCCTATTTAATTTCATTGCATTTCTCTATTACTAATCGAGATCCTTCCACTCTAATTAAATTCTCATCAACTACAGCAAACTATTCATGTTACCACTTGAAGATGTTTATTAAGGGAAAGTGTTGTTTCTATTAAAACACACTAAAGCGACAACCCTGATTTAACAAACGAGACGATTCTTAATTTTTATAACAGTGCCGGATACTTTTTTTTTAAAACAGCCAAGATTCGAGCAGTTTTACTTTTTTCCTCGTCCGCTGCGAGACGTGCCACGCGAACGTCAGGACGCGTTTTCATACGGTGGAATGTCCACGGACGGATTTCTCCCGACGGAGGAACGCGAAATCCGGTTTGGTCGTGATATTGTCCGCGTTAATGAAGATCGACGGTCTGATAACGATAACGAGGTCGCCCTATCGTTCCACGCTTTAACGACCGGCATCGAGATTCAGTTGACGCTGTCACTGGCGAATATGAGAAAAATTTCCGCAGTAAAGTGTGATCGAGAGCAACGTTGGTCCCAGATAGCGGAAACAAATTGGGGACGCATTTATCGCGCTGCAATTTCAGATAAAGGAGCTCTCAAGGATCGTTTTATGGTGTCCCGTGGAGACCACTTTGTTGCGCAGATTTTCTACCTCGTGATTTCTTATTCCACTCTTCGTTGTCGTAGAAATCGACAAAATACCCGGCTATAAAACTTGTACTTCTCAATACGATTATCTTAAGACTTGCTCCATGTTAAGTTTCTACAATTGTGTAATGTCGTACCGGTACAATGTGTATTTGTTTTTGCGTGGGTGGTAATATGACATACAATTTTAAAATATAATCAAATCAATTGTCTTGCAATTTAATTATTAATTTAATATAAAATCATGTTTCCTTCTCATAAAAATCATTTAACACATTTTTAAAAATGATACATTAAAATATAATATTGTCCTTCTTCCTTCTGTCTATTATCTGTTTAATAGTGTCTACTTATTAGTTGAGCATACTGTTTGAAAAAAGAAAGAGTTAAGAGATGATACGTACCTATGAAGCATCTATTTTGGTCAAGTGAAATTTTTCACGTCGGTGGGTCTGACATAAGGAGGACGTTATAGAAAGGAGTAAAGAATCGCGGTTGATTATAGCACGTGGTATGCTTGATTATAGTACGAGCTGACAATTGGTAGACAGTTGGGCTTGAAAACGGTGGTCTGAGCGCAGCAGCGTGTCGCCACGTTCCCAGTTCCCGTGGCGCGTGGGTCGGCGATTGCAAGTCGACTTGATCTTGCGATTTAACGATTTCCAGCAACAAGGCAGGTACAGACTTCATGACTCACGTTTTTATTTCACCTGATGTCTTCATCAAATGACGTTTGAAAATTCTGTTCATTAATTCATCATACAATGTCAAATAGATAATTATACTTGTTTAAAAATCGGTAATTATATGCATAATCGTGTGGTATAAAATTAGTCCTACATACACTACATCAATAAAAATGATAATTGCTAATTCGCCGATGTACAACGTTTGGATTGCGGGGACATAAATAGCAGAGCTGTTTGTACAAAGTGCAGAAACAAAAGGAGAAGGAGCGCAGCGCGGGCGAGGAGATTTCACGGATGTCGCGACTTGCGAGTGGGTGGACCGTAGAAAGCGGCGTGAACCACCCCCGGGATCGTCTCGAGAAGTCGGCAAATTTTCACCGAGCACGTGCGCGGTCGGAAGTCCGTTTCTCTAGTAGCGTTAGTCCGCTACCAGGCGATAAAGATAATCTCCGCTTCCACCGTCTGACACTGACGTTTACGCACTGCCAATAGATTCCAATGGAACGTCGCGTTCGTAACCTACGTTCCAAGGATACCACGAACCACGAGGAGATAACTGCCACCGATTTTCCTGAACGCTGACGTAATTTCCAGCCCGTATCGTGCAATTGCGCAACTTGTGAAAATCGTCGGCCGATCTATGCAAAACCGTGGAGCGTCGATTCCGTTGGCGCATAGGATAGCAGAAGAACGGGGCACGATCGAGGTACAGGATCGTTTAGTAGGAGGAATAGGAGGACGGGCAGGCAAAATCAAGGGGTCCACGTCTGGGTAGAACGATTCAGCGACCACGATGACGATGGAATCAGCCCGTGGCCGGGTTTTTCAGACGCTAATGCCGGTGGTTAGAGGATCGAGCGCTGCGCTGCGGTCTCGTGGCCGCCGTTACTGGTGGGCGTGGGAATCGTAGAAACTACGAGGGCACGCTTCGTATTTCATATCTTCCTGTTTGACGAGAGTCGAAACCCGCGAGTCGGAGCACTCGTTGATTGCTCGTGGCACGATCGCCGATTACGACCCGCAGTGGAACGTTTGCACTTTTTTGGAATTCTGCTTTATTACACGGAATTATACCGTTTCTTCCTGCCGTTTAGAATTGCTCAGTTCTTTGGGAGCTCTTAACATTTCCCTATAGACAATTGGGTCGTAGCTCAATGTAACTAAATACGAATCGTTCAACAGAAGTAAGAAACGTTAAGAAAAATATGAAATTATTTATTCTACAGATTTACATTCGTAGTATACAATTTTACTATTACGAGGATAGAATCGTACAAAATGACTTTTTTACTACTGTTTCGATGCAAGTATCTAACCACGCAACGATGTGGTTTCGACTCGCCGCTGATATCTACGAAATTGATCATCCGCTTTTCCGCGCTCATCCGGGCCCTTTATACGGTAAACGCGGTGCGACGTCTCGTTATTGCACGTGAAATTGGAGACGCGAGCCATAAAAGCGTATCTTGGAAACACGCGGCGGAGTGGGATCCTCCTGGCTGAAGCGGACGCTCTTCCTCCTCGGCCGCTCGTTTCTCATGTTGTGCCGCGAATTTTTTTCATGCCCCGTACTATGGTTTAATCCGGACATCGGATAGCCCACGATTGACGCCTACACCGGCTAGCTTTGACCAGCCGGGGGATTGTTCGCGGCCATTTGACGGATCGCTCAGGCGCGTTGCCCGCCTGTCCGAACGGGACGAATTAACTCCGTCAATCGAAGGCTTCAGCGTTAACCCCTTCACCGGATGAACTTCGTTGATACACTCTACGTATCTCACTTGGTAGTATTGATTCATATTTTTCTAAACAATACTTCAATGATCGTTTGAAAAAAAAATGTTACTTTAAGAAATTCCGAAGTACAGCCATACATTACGGAGAAACATAATTATCATACTGTAAATTGTCGTACGTCTGGCAGGTAGGTAAGCACCTGGGAATGAACTCGTTTCGTAGCCGCGAACAATACACGCGTTTGGGCGTTCAACGCGCATTATGGTCGTCCATAAACTATCCAGGTGTCCCTTTGCAGACGTTTTTTATTCGTCCTGTCCTCGGTTACCTTCAGTCGCAGACAATCCAATTTTGGTGCGCAATGACGCAATGGATGAATACTTCCAAATTCCAAATCCAAGTGGGAAGACTGATATACGAGGTGTCCAACTATTAGTGAAATAAATGTTAAGAGATAATTCTAAAAACTAAAATTAGACAAAAATCAAAATTCGCTTCTTAGCTATTAATGAGTCAAAATTACACCTGATGGTAGATAAAATAAAATACGATTAAAATAAAATCAGAATGTTACTTAGAATATTGTTATTCTTTTGATAAGATTTATTATCAATGGTGATGAAAGGGATGATGAATGACTCCATTTCTTAGTTGCGTGCCACTGTAACTTGGCCGCGTTAGAACGAATCGCACAATAATTTCCCCTCGATAAGGCACCGGGGAAGAACGGCGCGCGAAACAGAAGGGTTTCGCGCGAAAAGGAAAAGAATCGCGGCAGATATTTGATCTGTTGGTGCCGCGGTTCGTAAATCTCCGTGCCGGTTCTCAGCGGCGTTGGAAGGACTGTTGGGTACCGACAATAAATGGACTGGACGAATGTACCGATCTTTTACAGATGTATGTATGTACCTTACTATAAAGCCCGGGCAGAGTACCTATACTTTAGGTCTGTGTACGGGGCCCTACGTGTCCCGCGCGCGAGGTCGTATAATCGCGCTGGTCGCGACGTGTTCGCTTGATTCACGACACCCCGGAAGCGTGCTG